AAAAAAAAAAACATTTATCATGGATTATAGATGACAAATTAGATATAATATTATTCTAATTTTAATGCACCAATATTAAATAACATTAAATCACTTTATGTGAGTAAGTGCTTAAAAGGTTTTAGATGATTATAATCAAGCAATTGTATATAYTATTTAYTACATATGAATGGGTTTATATATTTATTTTATTTTTACATTTTATAGAATTTATTTGAATTAAAAATTGATGATCTGGAAATTTATATTATTTTTATTTAATCCACAGCTAACGTAATTTAATATAAGTAACAAAATAAGTTGAATTGTTATATAACATATCAAATCCAAGTAGATTTGACATAAAATACGTAAATCGGGACTTTTTAAGATCATATTAATGATAGCAAAAAATTTTAATTTTAGATTAAAGAAAAATTAATTTTTGTTAAGCTACCCAATACCTAAATAGTTTGAATTCATTTTCATACTGTAAGGTGTACATTTTTTTCTATTGAAGTTCGTGAATAGCAATTCATATATTTCTACCAAAACTTTGTCTAAACTCAAAAACTTTWATAAATATGACAAATCGTGACTTAAAAATGTATTACTTGAAAATGACTGAATAAATAAAACTCATGTGGTAAAAAACTTTTAAAGCCAAAAATCACAATGAAAAATTGCATCTTTGAAATAAATCAATACTAACTATATTTGAAAATAACTGATAAATAAATCAAATCATAATATTTTAATAGAAATAACGAGAGTAATATGATGAAGTAGAACCCGTTTTAATATTTAAATGTTTTATTTATAAAAAATAGTATGAGAATAATACTTTTTATCATAAAAATCGTATTTGTACATAAGACAAATTGTAATCACCGATTAAATACATGACGTATCTAATACACCTATCATATTATGTCRTATATGATAACTTTACTGATGAATGTAATTAAATGTCACCGAAATATTGAAAAATAACGATTTACTTGATATCATATTTTTTAGAACATTTCGTTACGATTAAMATAATTATTATAATGTTTTTCAAAACATTAACATGGCAATACGTATTTTTGGTAGATATAAAAATTTTAATTTTGTAGAACTTTCCATTTTTTCTAAAAATTTAGTGATGATATAAAAATTTTAATTTTGTAGAACTTTCCATTTTTTCTAAAAATTTAGTGATGATATAAAAATTTTAATTTTCTGCGTTTTAAAAAATATATAAATTTTATCATTTTACATATTGTATTATGTCATAATTATTTATTAATTTATCTACATTCAACACGTCATATTTTAAATGTTTTCACATATTTAAATTTGTAATATTTCAACACATTTTATCTATTGGGTACATTATATAATTGCCATAATATTATTTTATTAAGTGTTTTTAAAAAAAATATGGACCTACCACTCTTGATATTTTGTTGTGGTTTTTTATGGTTAAAATAAAAATATCTTATATTTTCTGTAATTTATTAGCCAGGAAATTAATTATTTTAGTATAAGGATGAGCTATAAAATGTTACATACTGTAAAAAAATAATATCACCTATTGACCATAATTATGTCTATGAACATATTTTGTCATTTCTCACTAAAAAATATGATTTTATTCATACGATTGGATACAAATCACTATGACGCGTATAATGGAACAATTTAAGAAATTCATTATTTCAACGTGATAATGATTACTAGTTTTGAAAATAATAAAGTTATGATAAATAAAAATATGTAAATTAACAATATGCAAAAAACAATTTTAATTAAACGTGTTTGTGTTTTTCGAATGGAAACTAGTGATTTTTACTGGAGTCTTTTCTCACGAACATCGTTCATATTATGTATAATATATTTAATATAAGTATATATGGATATATTCATTAAATTATTTGCACCGCTCAAAAAGTGTAATTCTTATTAATATCATATCAAAGTAAATTTGTCATTCTCTATACCGACTTATTATATTGGTGATAATTTGTTATAAATATAATTTTTTCAGCCACCGGATACCTACATGAAACCAATCGTTAAAACAGCGTTGGACTCAGCATCCGCAATGAGGCTCACATTTCCGGTGTCGGATAAATTAGGCGCCGAGGTTCACCTGACGTGTCTATCCACAATACCCGGGTTTATCAATCATAAGGCTGACTACCACGATTACGCCGATTACAGGACRACCTCGATCATAGGTAATAACTGTATAAAAATATATAATTATACTTCATGGATTATACACAAATGGATAGTCCTTCTGTATAGGACTACATTTGTAAAGTATATACTACAGCATACGAAACGTAGTGTATCCGAACAGAACAATGCATACCATCTCACTGGTTTGCAGTGGTTACCTTTTTTAGAAGTTAATGATAGTGTTTGGTGATGATGTAGGCGGTTATTTATAAATGATAGTAATAATTTACTTATAAGAATATTTAATGGTAAAAAAATTGTAACTGCTAATCGTAACTAATGGCTTTGTGACCGATGTTAATAAAGATCAATAAAAAATGTTATGTTATTTTAATAATAATAATATGGTAATTTTAAATTCATTAAATTCAATAGTTTAGAATCAATATTTTTTTGGTGTATTTAGAAGGTATAATTATTCTTATCTGATCATTTTTCGTTTGATATTGATTACTGACAATCATATTTCAATAACCACCGCATGTTACTTCGTGGTAACTTCATGCTCTCTATTAGAACTCACATAATATTTATAGCAAGGCCCATCCATTTATTTCTTACATCTACGAATATAATAATGTAATTTTTGTTATTTAGTTCTAAACAGAGTGTGTGTGTGTGAGAGAGAGAAAGAGAGACTCACGCACACGTGCACAGATAAATTCGTCTAGCACCATCTGCCGGCATGTTGATTCCGACGGTATTTTACGTTTACATTATATGCATTAATAATATATTATTATTGTGTTATAAATTATAAATTATTATCATATTATTTAGTAGGTATATCATATATGTTTAAATAATTGAGTGTGAACCCGTGCAACTAGAGCACTGCAGAGTTCATATGAAACTCTACGTAAACTTTATGCCGTCTCTTGCGACGTTAGACGAGTTGATGATGGCAATTCTTATACAATAAACTCGCCATGGCCTTTAAGGGAACGTGTGCTCCCCATAGAAAACTTACTTGGGGGCACAAACTAACCTCACCCCTACAGATTACACCCCCATAACCCCACAAACACACACACACACACACACAAACGCGCAAAATGACGACACCAAAGTTCCCCTAGCCTTGTTAGAGATTTCGTAACGACTAACAAGTAACAACCGACTGATTACCAACATCACCGTTGAACGAGATTAATTATTACTGAACCATAGTCCTCCGGTAATTTCTTCGATGTTCGCGTTTCATCGTAACCGTTAAATATTACACCTCCACATCCCACCCCATCTCACCACGCAACGTCGACCGCAATTAGCCGGTTTTGTATGCATACTTAGTGAATTTTAATACATATCACAATATAGTTGTTGGTTACCCCAACTGCAATAATATTATTGAAAAAATAATTTCTGCATAAATCCTCTGAATTTGATTATTTATGCGATACGAATATAATTTATTCGTATTACAGTTTCTCCGAAGTTTTAAGTAAGTATTTAAAAAATATGACGTAAATATCAGTATAGTGTTATTGAAACAGCAAAATAAGTTTAACGTATTTTATTTTTAGCAGTATAATTATAATCTCTACACACTAAATCCAGTAATATATATATACCTATAAAATATACAATGGACTATAATAATATAATATAGATTACTTATTATGCGTTTGTAAAGTAAATAAGAGAGATTTATTTTCTTTAACTTATTAAGGATTTCGATGTCGAGTTTCTGATTTAAATTATCATAGAATCATAGAAACAATGTTATAAAAAAAAATCCATTAACTGTATTAAATAAATACCAAAATCAATTGTTGAACGTTCCTCAAATACACTATTCCGTGTATTTTGTCATATAAAGTCCAAACACTATTTTCAGCTGTTATTTTTCAGAATACTTAACTTAGTAAGTTTCAATGAACAAAAATTATTTGAAATTGGAAAATTTGAAAAAAAATAATCAAACTCATTTAGAACCATAAAATAAAAATKTATCAATCAAATAATCATTAGTTGAATGACCATTTTATTTCTGAAAACCAATTATTTTAATAAACTAGAACGTACAACTGATTATTATTTTAATGCTTTGTTAAAAATAATTTATTTTAATATCTTTTATATCTTTTAAAAAAAAATTATTAGTAATGAGAAAATGTAATTCGTCATTCAATTTTTTTTCTTTCTATTTATTCGAAATAACATATGTTTCTGTTTCTAGTGTTTCTGCACATCATAAATATAACAATAAATTGTATCATTTTCAACACTAATATAATAGTGTTTTAGTAATTTATTGGTAATACCTAAGTAGTTTTATCGATCCTTATATTGGTCGTAGTTTTTGATATGTTACAAGATAGTTTATAATAAAATAAAAATTGATCGTATTTTATTCAATATAAGATTTTTTTTTTAATTATTTACCGATATTTATTACCATTTATTATAACGTATTTCTAATTTAAATATTGCTGACCTCATTTTGTACTGATAACCTAACCTTTTATAATAATTACTTAAAAATATATTGATTGTAAGACTAATTATTTCTGATTGAGAATTAAATTCTGTTGATTATACATTATACATTAGAAACTTAAGAACTATAATTAAATAGTATTAATTTATAAATAAATAATAATTAAAAATATTAATTAAGAACACATTATATTGTTTAACTTACTGTTAAAAAAATATACACTTTTTTTGGTATTTAATACATAAAATATTAAGAGAATAATAATAATTATTATTATTATAGAATATATAATACACCTCTGTTTCAGCTCTTTTGTTATTTATATTAACTAGAATATTATCTTTGTCAAATGTAGTTTTTTACTAAACACATTGTGTAGATCTCAACCCCAACCTGTGGACCTGACTGTTATAATAAATAAATTAAAATCAGAAAACCCTGGTAGTATAAGAGGGGAAGAGGTTAGGTACCTCGGTATTGTTTTGATTTTGGGTCGTTTAGTTGCGAAAGTTTATGCTCAAGAGAATGAAATGAATCATTTATTAATGTACGCAGCAGGTCATCAGGATATAAGTGAAATACTGAATAAACCTGAATATAAACGCGAAAAATTACTGAGCTGCAAATGAAAATAAAATAACGAAAAATATATAGTTATTTKTTCATACTTCATATGTATACGTAACTATAATACAATATGAAATCGGTTAATCGGTCAAGCTTGATTTGTTCAGTTTTATTATTTTCATTCTATTTCTGTTTTTAATCAAATATAACGCTCTCGTATCTACAACATCAGTTTTTGGGGATTATATTGGTAGTTACCTTATTTTACCAAAACAATTATCATACGTTTTGATATTTGCTTTCACACAATGATAGTTATTCCATAACGGGTATATAATTTTTTAACTGGGCATCCATCGTATACCCCC